CGGGGCCGGGGCCGGGGCCTGAGCCTGGGCCTGGGCCTGGGCCTGGGCGGGCTGTGGGCAGCTGTGCTGAGCGGGGGGCAGCGGGACCGAAGCGGATGGCTGCGGGGAGCTGGGCCGTGGGGCGGGAGGCGTTGTGCGGGGACTTTAGCGTTTGTCAGGGGTCGTTCGCCGTCGCAGGCGTGGTGCTGGCACCTTCAGCCCCTGTGCTGGGCTGGTGGTGGCTTGGCCAGCTGTGTCCTTTTGGGCATCGAGATATAGGTCAGTGTGTGTTACTTGTTTAAGCCCGCTTAGGTGTGGTTGCTTGGCGTTATGTTGCTGCTGCGAGTGTTTCCAGGCCGGTTTTGTTCTCTGTGACCAAGATCGTTGGCCATTCCTGAAGAGCCCACACAGGCGTGACCCAGAGGCCGCCTTCTTACCTGTGCAAAGTGCCCCCTGCCCCACCAGAGCCTCTGAGGAGAGCTCTTCTGGCCTTGGTGTTGCCTCTGTGCGGCAGCAGCCAGCCCTTCAAAGTGTAAAAGCTGATCTGGGAGATCCGTATCTCGTATCGCTGCATTTTGAGCAGGTTTTGCAGCGGGACAGCAAGTGGAAGCGTTATGTGAAAATGCTCTAAGTAGTTCTAGTTTCTTAGGTAGTTCCTGGTAGAGACATAGGCCTTAAATTACTTGTATATCTCGTATTGGTTATTATAGAAGATTTTGTTGATTAAGTCAGTTTTTTACATCAGTGGAAGCTGGTATTGCTATCCAGTCATTCTTCTACTCTTCTGTTCTCTTTCTTTTACACGAATGTTTGTGAGACTCCACAATGTACCAGTTTGGGGAGGTGAGCTGAGGCAGTAGCTCTGTAGCAGCCTTAACCGTAGGCATCACTGCTTTCTTTCCTTTCTGCCGTGGCTGTGGCTGCTTATCCCCTGTCTTGCCCCACTTCCACAGTCACTGAAGCTTTTGCTGAGCCATCTACAAGAATATCTAGCCTAGCAAATCAGTGAGTAGTTGTCTGTATGGTTAACTGTCTGAGCAAGTTTAGGAAGGGACCGGATTAAATGTTCTAACTGATTCAAGGGAGGAAGTAGAGGGGAAACTAGAGGGACATTAATTAGTGGATTGATTGGCTTAGACTACTTTAGGACAACTGTCAAAGTTAAAACCTTTTTTTTTTCCACTCAGTTCAGTCTTAAAACAGGTCAGTAACCCAGTATGATACATCAAGTGGCTGTAGAAACAGCTTGTACTGTCACAGTTGAAAGGTTGAATCTGCATCTTTGAGCATTGATGCTGGCTTGAAGTGGCTTACAGTGACTGTGGCAGAGTGGCATAAAATACCCTAAAACCACTTCTGTATAGCAGGATTCAAAGCACAGTCTATCTTTGTGAAAACAGAAGCTGAAGCAATATCATGTTTTAATGTCACCTCATCTCTGAGCCCTGCATAGATTGTTTGATCTTCCAGCCCCATGGCACTTCTGAAAATTTTATATTAGCGATGCACATCTGTAATTCTGTCATGATTCACCTCCAGCCCTTCAAACAGTCATGCTTTGTTTCATCACGTGGAAAATAAACAGTTTTTAGAAATCAGAAACTACTGTAGATGGAAAAAATGCAAGTTACTAATCTGATCTCAGTGTCCTGATTTTTACAATGGAATAGCTTTGATTAGTGCCAGACATTTAGCAAGCCATGCGATTATATTATTGAGAACTACATCCGATCTGTATTCTCCCTGC